GCTAAAAGGTAAATATTTCATAAATATGAATTGGTTCAGGATTACAATATTGAATTGTAGCCCTATACAATGTAATACATGGCAAAAAAGTTTAAAAAACATGGAAACATATGCATACAAATTTTTCAGTCCGTAGCTCGACATAAACAAACTGTCTATGGAGCTAAACGAAGTGATAACGATGTAGAGCGTTCGAGCAAGATCAGTTGTGTTTAGGAGGACCTGGGCAAAACACGTAGACCTCGAGGCAAATCCAAATGCTATAGAAGCCTTTCGAAAGAGGACCAAGCAAGGGTTGTCAACGGCAAAAGTTTCAATGTGCTCTATCACCGATTCCTCTCTCATCGAGTGAGACCACCTAGAAAGACATCTCCATGAGCTTGACCCGAGAAGAATCCTCAAACTCCCGCGAAAGAACGGAGCAAGCTTCCCCTACCAATAACGTTGGCTAGTACAAAGCTAAATATGACGATGGAACACTGCACCGAACACCCCAGGCCGAAGGTAAGCCACACAACCCAACACACTAAACCGCAGGCCAAAGTAACGCAACAATTTAAAATGCAAGACACTCTCTACAACAGGTCCTAAACCACTCCACAATCTTGAAATACGGCAAAGCTAAACCATAGGACTGGCCACGAAGCTACCACCGATAACACAACCAACCAAGGGCTACAACACCGCAAGCATCAAAGGCAGAAAAAGGAACTCGACGAGAACAACACCAAGCACTCGCGATGCAACCATGGATACACACTAGAGGGATAAGCCATTGTCCATTGCAAAACCCGACTATAGTGAGAGCCAACGTCTAATTTGTCCCTTTGAGAGCAAAACAAATCTCTTAAATCCCTCTGTAATCTTCATGTCCCTCTATTGTTTAATGAAATTGGAATTGACAAAAATACCCTTATTGAAATTGAACAAAAAAAAATTAATTAAAAACAAAAATTTTGGGAAAACAAAAATTCTTCACGGAGTTGACGAGACGAGCTCCTCCTGCGCCGGACCGGCGCTTCCTCGAGCCTCATCGCCTCCGGACCGCCGCCGCCACTGATTCATTGCTCTTAGGTTGGTATTAGGTTTTAGCAATGTAGCTCAATCTAGATTAGGTTTTAGCAAATTAGGGATTGATTGGATTTGAGTCATTATTGATGCACATTGGGTGTTTTAGTATGAATTATGGGTCGGTTAGGGCTATAAAGAGGTAACAAATGTATTTTAGTGGTTGAATCCTACTGAATTGGAA